GGGCAGGGACACCATTCCTACCCCCTGGCTAATAGCACTCCATGGACCCAACCTCCATCACTTTATCTCACTTCTCTTTAAACTCTGTTCTAGTTGTAGCCTTCACAGCCTCCTGCAGCAAGGAGTTCCACAGGTTGACTCTTTGCTTTGTGAAGAACAACTTTCTGTTACTAGTTTGAAGCCTGCTACCCATTCCTTTCCTTTGGTGTCCTCTAGTCCTTCTTTTTTGGGAACTAATGAAGAACTTTTCTGTATGCACCCTCTCCACGCAACTCCTGCTTTTAGAGACCTCTATCCTGTCCCCCCTCCGTCTCCTCTTTTCTAAGCTGAAAAGTCCCAGTCTCTTTAGCCTCTCTTCATATGGGACCTGTTCCCAGCCCCTGATCATTTTAGTTCTCCTCCCCTCTCCCAGCCTCTCTCTTCCCCCTCCCACCTCCTTTTCCCAGTCTCCCCCAGTTTTGTTCAATAAAGACAGATTCCATTTTTGAACACAACTGTCCTTTATTTTGTACATCAAGAAAAGGGATAGGGAAGGGTAAGTGGAAGGAGGTGAGGGAGGAATGGGGTACGCGCCCCCGATGGGAAGGACTGGGCTGGCTCTGCGGGCTTTTGGGGTGGAAGCTCTCCTGCAGCCCCCCAATTGCCCCTTCTCCCCAGATGGCAGCCTGCGGCAAGTGCAGCCGGTCTGATGGCCGAGTGGTGTGATGTGCCCAGTGTGGGTACTCCGGGCACTCCAAGCCAGGACTGCTTTGCAAGCTGGGCACCCCTGAGAACTGTCTGTCCGGGGTGGGGGTCGGGACCCTTTAAGCTCAGCCCTCGGCTAGCCTGAGACAGCATCTCCACGCTCTAAGTCCTCCTCTGATGCCCTGCCGGCAGTGCTTCTGGCCATCCTTAACCCCGGTTCAGGGTCCACTTAATGTGGACATGCTAGTTTGAATTAGCAAAACGCTAATTCGAACTAGTTTTTTAGTTTAGATCCGTTAGTTCGAATTAGCTTAGTTCGAATTAACTAATTCGAACTAAGTTAGTTCGAATTAACGTCGTAGTGTAGACGTACCCCTAGTGTTTAATCCAATGTATGACTGGCAGGATCAAGAGATAGAAAGGTTGCCTGATGTGAAGTATGTTCCAGCTTTTGATTGCTGGACATTCAATAGCCCATGTGCTAGAGGCAGTGCTAAGCACGGTTCCATGAGGAGAGAGGCAGGAAGAGGCAAGAAGGGGGTTTTAGAAAGGATGAGCATTTGGAGCTGTGGTGTGCAAAGTCACATGTTTTCATAGGGACAGGGGCAACATGATTGGCTCAGGGAAGGTACACAAGCAAAGGTCAGCCTGCAAAATCTCTGTGGAGAATTGGAGTGAAGTCTTAAGGAGAAGAGAAACTTCTTTAGACAGATACAGGTGAGCAGAGTGGGAGACTGCCGGAGCAGCAGGGAAAGGGCAGAGGGTGACTCAGATTCCTCAGGAATCTCTGTCTTTATGGAGAAACCAAGGCCTGGCCTTGCTCTGCCCATAACGAACTCCTCCTTTCCTGGCAATTGTTTCTGGCCCATGGCTGACTCCGTGGTTTTCCTTGCCAGCCACGAGGCAGACATTGCCTGAAATGGCTTCTCTCTGCATCTTCCAGGTGACAGACACCTGCAACGCTCCCTTCCTCTCTAGACTGGCTCAGACTTGCTCTTAGGAGGCAGTATTACAGACCAACCAATCCACATGCCAGTCATTGTGTCCTGTAGTCTCTGTGCCAGGGGAGAGAGAACAAGACCTTGGCAGAACTTACTTTTCCTTCTGGGTACTGCTGCTCCGATAAAATTGTTCATTAATAGACAACGCTCACAGTGCCCAAATTAAATTAATACCAGTGCTGTAGATAAAAGGGCCAACGCTACCCAAAGGAACAAAGGAGGCGAGAAGTATCCGGAGTGCCAGACTGTTGCTGGTGCTTGTGGTTTCTGAACTCACTGCTGGGCCAAACAGGGTTGTGCTAAGGTTGCCAGTTTTGGTTGGAGATATTCCTAGAGGTTTCAACACATGACATAATCTTTAATTAAAGAGTAATCTTTAATTACTGGAGACCGCAGGCCAATCCTGGACAGCTGGCAACTGCTGCTGTGCACATCATGGACTGGGAAACAGGGAACGTGGACTTCCCAACTCAGCGACTCTTCACATCACGGCATGCTTAGCTTTGGAAGGAAATGAAAGGTCTTAACATCACCCAAATACAGGACTATGTAGCACTTTAAAGACTAACAAGATGGTTTATTAGATGATGAGCTTTCGTGGGCCAGACCCACTTCCTCAGTTCTGAGGAAGTGGGTCTGGCCCACGAAAGCTCATCATCTAATAAACCATCTTGTTAGTCTTTAAAGTGCTACATAGTCCTGTATTTGGGTGATGTTAAGACCTTTCATTTCCTTCCAAAGCTAAGCATGCCGTGATGTGAAGAGTCGCTGAGTTGGGAAGTCCACGTTCCCTGTTTCCCAGTCCATGATGTGCACAGCAGACCCAGTCACTGTCCACCATTAAACAGTGCTAGCCCAGGTTTAGTATAGAGAGACCTCAGCCAGCTTAGTACCCTGGCAAACGTTAAACCATTAAAATCCTTTTAACCTTTTATTAAAGATAAAGAAGGAAAAACAGTGAAAGCATTTTCAATGCCAAGTATTAAGTAAGGTTTTCATTTTAACAATATCCCTTATTCCCTTCCCCTTTAGGCCTAGGATGAAAGTCTTTTAGGCTAGGTCTACACTAGTAAAATACATAGCTGGAGTTGGCATTCCTTAAGCTGAGCTTGGTGCCGTCTTCCTTATTCCGCGCATCTGCCAGGAGTATCAGCACCGGCTGGAGCTGCCCTCAGCATTCAATTTAGTGGGTCTTAACTAGACTCACTAAATCAAATGCCAGAAGATCAATTGATCTCCCGCACGGTAAGTATAGATGTAGCCTTAGTAAGCATTAGCGATGGCAGCAACTGATCCTTTTGGGGAAAAGAGAAGTTAGTTGAGATAGGCTGGAGCAGTGGTTTTTGCTCAAGTCTGATCCTGTTTCATCCCAGCTGATGTTTGGGGAACTGTCAGGGTAACAATGTCATCCGAGTCTCCTTCTTCCCCTCAAGCTGCTCACAGGGCCGGCCCACAACATTTTGGCACCTGAGGCGGAGAGCTCAAATGATGCCCCCATGTCCCCTCGCTTGGGCCAAAACTTTGAAAGGTCTCAATTTTGCCTTCTTCCTGTTCTACTCCTCTCATGGCACTGCTCTGCTACCTATACATGCACCAGCAGGAGACACAATTTTCTACACTCTGGGTCCTAGTGGCATCCTCTCACAGTCTGGCACCTGAGGTGGCCGCCTCAGTTCGCCTCATGGTAGGGCCAGCCATGGCTGCTCAGGACATCCCTCAGCAAAATAAAATAGGTCTAGGGGTCCTAGGACATGGCGATGTTCATTCTGGTCTCCATCATCTGTTTTTTCTTCTTTCCCTCCCCACAGTCTCTCTTTAAGGACCCAGAAAGGGAGTGATGGATCCCCTCTTTATTTTGTCCTCCAGTTAGGCCTGCTTTCTGACACACCAGTTTTGGCTCATTAATGTTCAGTTCTACATGTTATGTTTTTACCAAGCATAATTTCAACACTGCCCTTGAGTTGTATCAGTAGGACTTAGCTGTTTAGACTCATTTGGTCTTTGGCTCCCCTTCCTGTCTATTCCCAACATCATTTGTTATTACAGGTCATTGTAACAGATGACTTTTCATTGACTTTTCCCCCCAATTGCTCTTATAATTTAGGATACATGAGACCCAGTTATCACTGCAGAGGTGCTGTCATGCTTTTAAATGCAGACTGGGGCCAGGATGGCAAATCCTGAGTTTGTAAAACTCTTGAGCTTAGGTTTAAAAAAACCCACCTCACTGTTTTTAAAGGGTTATTTTTCTTTGCCTCTTTGCTTAAGTTACATTCAGGCCACATTTTCAAACTTTTCTTTGCACCCTCTGGGGATAAAAAAAAAATCCTTTTTTGTTTACAATAAAAGCTGAGTCTCTCCTCCAGTTGCATGAACCCAGGAGCTGGCTCTTTAAGATAAGCACCCGATAACCTAGGACTCCTGTTAAAATCACAAGGGCTAGCAGTCCTGGGTCCTGCTATGCTGCTGGGGCAGCAGCCATTTTGTACTGCAGTTAAGATACAAACGGTTGCCAAGGAGTCCACTGCCTGCCTCTCTGATGGAACAGCTAGCTATCTGTTCTCTCCACCCTCTGAAGTAAGAGTGCCTTAGTACATGAATACCTGTTTTGCCCTGAAACAGAGCACCGAACTGAAGCTTGGCTGCATTGGGAACTTTATCTATGCTCTAAGGACGGCGCCAAATTTTTTGCTTTTTAAGGACTTGAAAAAGAGATGGGTGCACTCTAAATGGCTCAGTTAAAAAAGGTGCCTTGGCAATACATAAAATACATCAGTAATAAGTGGTCATTACTAAAGGCCCGATTCAGCAACCATAAAAGTTGGCGGTAAATGTCGTATTAACTTCATCAGCCCTAGATACCTCATTTGTGGTCCCAACACATCCAGATGCTCCTTCGAGTTCTCTTGCTGCCCCAGTTTTCTATAAAGGCCCCAAGTGAGTGCAAGGGAACTGCCATAAAGAACAAACTCTCATCAAATCTCCTCCAGTTTACATCTCATGATAGGGCCCAAGCAGTTCCACTTTGCTCTCCAAACCTCGTTGCCTATCCCCTTGCCTCCTGTCGTCACATCAGGCTCTCTCTCAAACCTTCCTCTGTTGAGACCAAGCTTCTTTCTGACGTCTTCCTGCGTGATACTGTCCATAAATCCCAGCTAGGCTCCAGCCTGTCTGAACTGCAGCAGCGCAGCCCCCTCCACCCTGGGCCAAGAAACAAGAGCACACTGCTTCAAAATGTGCCCTGGGCTTCTGGACTGGTTTCAAAACCCAGGAATAAACACTCCCACCCCCACCCCCTACACACACAGTTTCTAACAAGCCTCCTTGAACACCCCTCCCCACAGCTCCTCCTATTCTCCAGTGCCCACACCTCTCCCTGTAAGTCTGCCCCTCTGGAACCCATATCTGCAGGCTCTTGACCTCCAGGCTCGTGCTCCCGAGTTGCCCACCACCGATGCTTTCCTCATACTTGTAGACCCCCTCTCCACCCGGATTAATTTCTCTGGCGCTCTCAGCTTGACTTCATGGCTAAAATCCCATTTCCTTTTCCTGGACCTTGACTTTGAGCCCCCTTTCTAATGCCTCCCCGATTCTATGAGGTCCCTGATCCTCCCATGCGCATTGTCAGCCATTGCCACCTCCTTCCCTATCTCACTGTGAATGGGAGCTACCCCAGCCCATGCCATTGTGACCTGACATGACTCTGCAGCCCCTCTGCCCTCAGCACCCCAAGTGGTTGCCTAGGTAACCTGCCCCTAACTCTGGCCCTCTTGGGTTCTTCACAATGACTGTCTAAAATCAGAACCCCCTACAATAAGAATCTCTTTTGTGGGGTCTTGTTTATTCAGTCTTTAATCAACAACCGATTCTTTGGCCCCACAGTCTCAGCTCTTTGTCTGTCCTTGACAAAGGTGTCCCACCACCATCCTTCCTAGGGCCTAGCAGCTTTCTGCCCTTCGTGGGCTTTTTTTAGTTGCCTCTTCTGCTCAGCCTTTCCTGAACTCCTTTTAGGCTGTTCCCTACTCTCTAGCCAGCTCACTCTCAGGGCTGGCCACCTTCTCTCCTCCATCTCTCCCCCTCATCTGTCCCAGTGGTCCAGTGAGGTCATTGACCCATTTCCCCACTTGGGGAAGTGAGTTATCTGTGTCAAAAGGTGGGGTTGAGAATCATATTCTCTTAAAGGGCCAGCCACTGTGTGATACTCATAACCAGCTGTTTCCTGCAGGCTACGCAGGCTAAGCCACAGAGCCAATGAGTGTGGCCTATAAATGATTCAGATCCTTCTGTATGAATGAGCACGGCTAGTCATAACTAAATAATTCTGTACGAAATTGAGTGGTCTGAGATGGGAGTGGAAAGGGGTAACTAAGAGCACTAGGAGTGAGAAAGAGGAGTTTTTCTGACCTCCTGATCACACCAAACTCTTTATATAAACAGAAAGTGAAGAGTTTGAATAAGTCCATGAAGGGACAATAGGAACCAATGAGTAAAACTTTCCCCTCAGAGCTCTCATTAGGCACAGACAATGGGGCCACACCTGTGGTTTCGTTAAGAGTCTCACCTGATCTGGTGCTGGTGGTTAGTCTGACGTTTTCACATGCCAGCCCCATAAATCCTATAAGGAATTACGGCCTGTGTACCGCATAAGTGCACTTTGAGCTGGCTGGGACTAGAGAAGCTGGGAGCACCCAGCAAGTCAATGCGTCTGCCCCCTTCTTGGCTGC